TCCTCAACAGTGCCCATCCACGATTTCACCCCACGAGTTTCGAACCCAGGACCTATCAGTGTCGCGCCAGGCGCTTAACTCCTAGACCACTGAGCCAGTCGGCATCCAACGGTGTTCATGTCTAACTTCAACCAATCCACGAAGTTGCGCCACCGTACACCACTGTCTTAAGTAATGGGAATTTTTCAGAGATGTGCACTGCTGAGGAGACCCATACTAGGATGAAAAGGCCGTACAGTGCTTCCATGTTTTCCATGGTGGTCTAGCTTTAATTGACTCATGATTTCAATCTGTGAAATTTCTAAAATCTCCACAAAACCCCTTCTGATAAAGAAAATATTAGTTGTCCTGTATTCTATTCTATTCACATTTAAGATAGCCGATCTTGGATTTTGGCGCGTAATTCATTCACTCATTTTGGCATAATAGCTGATGTCGATTCATGATGAAAATATTAAATTTAATTCCCATGTCTAATATTCAAATGTAAATCTTAACCCTAATTTTTCACATTAATAAATAAACTTTATTTAACTCTGATAAATAGGTGAACATTCCAAAATCATTTTAGCGTTGCTCAAAGGTTGTCCTTAAATTATAATTTAACCGGTTTATTTTACTAACTTCATCCATAGGAAACTTAATATCATATCCAATAAGTTTAGCTTGATTTCTATATCAACTATATGCTGTCGAGGAAAAAACGATAAATCTAACAGTACTACTGAAAGAAAGGAATCATTTTCCTTACAACAGATAAATGTCTTATATGAATCGGCTTAAATATAAACATATGATAGAATAGTAATAAACTGATCCAAATGTTGTAGCAGAGAGGACAAAATCTTAGAAATAACAAACTGAAGTAGAACAAACTATTTAACACTATAATTCAATGTAATCTAGTATTTTCATATGATAAGTCATTTAAACAGTTCACATAATTCAACAGGTAATAAATTAGAACTCCATGAAAAATCTTTTCATGCATTAAAAAAATATGTCAAGATTTACAATATACAGTCGCATACAAGGACGAAACGGCCGTCCAGTTCTTCCAGGTTTTCCATGGCGGTCTAGCTCTAATTGACTCATAATTTCAATCAAAAAATAAAAAAATTGAATTACAATTCAGTTGTTGACAAAATTCTTTTCAAAATGATCAAAGTCGTGGGAGATAGATAACGCTCAACGGTGAATAAATCAGGAGGAGAATACAACTACAGCTATCAAGTCCGTATCAAAATTCATCAATATGCATTCGCAGTACATTGATGTTATGCAATACTATCACATTCCTGACTTACAGCTTTCTCCACAGCCATTGCTAAGTCTTCCACGTATTTCGAATTGTCGATTTTAATGCTTCTCTTCACTTACCCGTTTGTTTTTGTGTATTCGGTCTGTGCATCGGCTTTCACTTTTGCTGTTCGACTGTAGTTAATTGAGGTTTGCATGTTCTTCCCTTCTTGGTTCGTATCCAGGAATTCGATAGCGATCCAGTTCTGAAAATGATATTTATCACAGCGCAGCACCTAATGTAAGCTGAGATTGATGTTTGTTTGAAACCTCTTCAGTTGTTTCCCATAGACGCTTCCTCTTCTTTAAGTAGATTCTGTAAGGCTTAAAACGTTTTTGTTGAGAGCGATCTTGAATTCGTTGAGTTTGTTAGTATCTCAAAGGAAGGTTGTATTGAAGTTTTGAAACGCTGTTTTTCCAGTGGTCCAGTGCTTCTTAAGCTTCAGTTTAACCTTGGCAACCATCAGGTAGTGTTCTGAAGCTATATCAGCCTCTAACATCATCCATAGGCCCTTTGAATATTTCGGCGATTCAAATATGATGGATCTGGTTCTCTATAATGTGATGCGGTAGGACCCATGTAGTTTTTTTCTGCGTTTCTTTGAGAATATATTGCTACCAATAACCCTTTTGTTGAGTCAAAATAAATCTGTCGTCCTTTTGGTTTCTTTCTCCCAGCCCATGTCGACCAACTATATCCTGTCACCCAGTGTTTTCCATTCGGAATTTGGAGTTTAGGTTCCCCATCAGAATGATCAAGTTCTTTCCTGAGCACCTCTCTATGATCGATTGCAACTTCTCATAAAACCCGGTCATGGAACCAACAGTTACAGTAAAAGAAATACAGGCGAAGTTATATATATATATATATATATATATGTAGCTGTGATACTCAGTAAACGACACAATTCAGTTCATTTTCATTCACTATTTCGAACACAAAAACACTCACCTCATGATCCTAAATCAAATGTTCAAGTAACTCTAATACTGATAAAAAAATTCAAGGAGATTTCAAAATAACTCTGCTACTCACATATTAATTCTCTTCCAATATTACTCTATGCCTAACTAAAGCAACATATATACATATCGAAACTTTAACTCCTGCTTTCTAATACGTAACCAATCTAGCTTTTGAAGTTAATAAAGCGTAAACAGTATTTGAATAAAAATGGTGCCAGTTAGAATAACTTTACAAACCGTCTCCAATTTAGAATGTTTTATTGCATTTCTTTTCTTTAAAAATAACTTTCTCAACATTCTTGGTGACAATATGGAGCCAATTTTGTTTTATCAGTACCACAATATTGATTGAACAGAAAGAGAACTTCTATTGTTTAGCCATTGAATATATTACAGCCAACTGAAAATGCCTCAGAAACACAATTTCGATGCTTAAATAGTTTGTATGCAAATATCACTGTTGTGAATTTGTATCAAAAATAATAATACAATAGATGAAGACATTTGGTCGAAATGTCTACTACTGTCTTCCAGTCTTCATCTAGCCCTTTAATATTAGGATTACCATCAAGGTTTTACTGTATAGAATGCCGAGGGATAATTAAAAATTTAATTTTGTACCTTATATATATATAATTCAAAATGTGAGGACAGTATTGTGGACAAAAGTAGCATTCTATGAGCACTGACAATGAATATCTTACATTGGCCGCTTTCCGTTATACATCTGGATAAGCGACAAATTAACATTCTCCCGTGTTCGCTTTAGTCGTTCTTCTACAATATGCATATTGTTCAAAACAAAAATATTAAACCAGAGCTGAGTTAATCCCACCTTTCTTATCCTATTATGGGAATACCAAACAATATGAGGTTATTGGCTAACTAATTAGCTGAAAATTACCGTAGACATCGAGGTATTTGAATTTCTTCAGTTTGTATCAGTATGAACTCTATAATACATACAATCTAAAACACCTAACCTAAGATGTATTATTTCATGAATTTCATGCAAGGATTTTAACTGATGATAGGAATGGATTTCAATTATCCCAATGATGATATTGAAGACTGAAAATCAATCAGTTTATGTTGACTTATATGCAGTCTGTGCGAAATACTTACATGCATCTACAACATGACACGATTTACAGAAAATATTGATTGTAACTAAAAAGAAATTTCAGCACACACATTCCATCACATTTGAGACTCGTCAATTGGATGTAATTGTAGATATCAGTATTGATATTCACACCGTGACGCGACCCGTTGTATAAGTCAATACCTTTGTGGATAACATACTGGGTGTTTGACAAGTAGTGTACTGAGCTTGAGTCCTTGTATCAACATTAACACTTAATTACAGGTATATCTGGTGGTTGATAAACTACAAATATGACGACATAAATATCCTAAATTCTGCTACTTGCCACGATCCATCTATCCCACTTACTGCCATTAACAAAATACTTGACGTTATTTTCATGTTAAGGAAATTAGCAATTTTTAAAATAGCTGGATGAGTCTAAAAATAAACAAAATCATAACATGTTACAGGTTTAATTCCAAACTGACGATATTATTCAACAATAGTAACTGAATGCAAAGTTGTCGTGTACATGAACAGATTAACTGTGTATTAATTACTGTTTACACACTCAAATCTCTCAAACTACTATTTATCTAAAAACTATGATGACCACATGAATGATCAATCAATTTATTTCAGGGAAAGAAAGATAATGTTTGCCACCCTAACACTGTGATTTCTCAAAACTAGTGACAAATTACTATATCTGCCTATTTATATATATTCGGATCATAATGTTTGACTATCTTCATTTAGTTCTTGTCATCTTCTTTAAAATAACTATTCAATTTAATGTTAGATGCCGGCTCAGTGGTCCAGTAGGATAAGCGTTCGCGCGCGAGACTGGATGCCCTGGGTTCGAATCCCGCGAGCGGGATAGTGGATGCGCACTGCTGTGGAGTCCTACAATAGGACAAAACGGCCCTCCAGTGCTTACAGATTTCCAACGGTGGTCTAAACTTAGTAATCTCCACAACCCCTATACTGATAATGTTTATACGTTTTGGGAATTAATAAAATTAAGTGCAATATGAACTAGTTTTTCGTTATTTATATAACTGGTACACAAAACGTGGTTTGATAAAATGAAAAATCTGTAAATTTTGTATGTTGATGAACATTTTTAGGTTTGAGTCTCATATGCGAGATCATGGATGCGCAGTGATGAAGATTTTCATACAACGACGAAACGGCTCTCCATTGTTTTCACGTTTCATTGGTGATTTAACAACGATTGGTTCATGATTTTTATAGAATTCAACAAATCTCACAACCTTGTAATGAAATATATATATTTTTTCTTTGATTTAAGAAAACACTTCAATAAATAAAGCTAATCTATATTGTGTATGCAAATAATATTTTTGTGATCATCCGAATGCTTTTGGTGCCAATTCGTTCATTGAATTGTATAGTCTGATTGCTGAACCCTTACCATTGTTCTGAACGACATCAATAACACTTTCTTTTTGTAGATATTTAAACGAATAAGCACCAATGGTGTAGTTCAGAACATTTCTGGAAGCCTGGAGAACTCAACAACATCAAAAACAGATATTTTTTTAATCAAATATTCTTTCAGTCTAATCACATATCAGTGGTTAATTTTATTTGTTTCTTTTTCTTAAAACATTTTATTTAGTTAAATCATCATAGCCAAATCAATAGAACAAATGCTCACAAAATGACTATACGTGAATTAATGCAAATTACACAGCATACTGTAAGTTTTATGTTTTCTTTTCTTTTTTCTCGCTTTCTATTTTCTTCCCATTCACAGTTATTTATTCGTACTTTTTTATTTGATACTAATTAAATTGATAATTGATTGATCACTGGATGATGATTGATTTCATGTATAACAGGTCTTTCTTACTGGAAATCGATTTCTATAGACCAAGTTACAATGTGCCCCCCCTAATTTCAACTATACTAATTCACATGATAAATACATACATTTTTCATACCCACCTTCTGGTTTACAAATCAATACAGTGATAAGTCATACAAATTCAGATTGACCCAAAATTACTTGGCACTGACATGCTCAGACCTATTCTGACTTTGATAGTACTAAAAATATTTTGCATTGTTTCCTTTGTGTTACTTAAACTCATGTTAATATTATTTCAGTTATTAATTTGTTTACTCTGAAGAAGTGACATAAATGAAGTTACGAAACGTCATAAATATAATTTTTCTATTCAACAAGATAATGATAAAACTATACTTATTAATATTTATAATTATTTCTGTCGATTAATTATTATTTGTCATAATAACTATGAATTAATTATTAATGATCAATGAATAATAACTAACTTCATTGAATGTATCCAATCAATCGTTTTCCTTTTATCTCTTCAAACAATGTGCTAGTGCTATTTGCTACTTACAAAATAATTATTCCTTTCATTATAAATGATTTCGGTAGAAATTATTTCAGCTTAATATGAATATTACATTCCAGTGTTGTTAACTTGTTATTTTATTCTTTTTATTTTATGAGTATACTCAATAATACTTATAGTAGAATGACTATACTATAGTGAACATGAACACAAAAATGAGGACAATCGAATGTATTTGAACATGAAATTACAGAATATCTCACTAAAATCTGAGAACCAAACTGTAATTACTTCATTTGCAAAATGTCAGTTAGTTGTCTCAAACTTGACTGTTTCTTTTACAAATATCAGTTCATCGTCTTAAATTTCATTGTTCCCGCATTTTCATCTCAATTTCTTTCTGTTCCTATCCTTTCCTTCTTGATCTTCTCCTGAAATACATTCTATTCCTGATTATCGTTATATACTGTTTCTGTGGATATAAGTAGCTCATATCACAATACTATGATTAGTATTCTATTATAACATCTAAGGATGAAGTAATAGATAAAGTAACAATACTATGTACTTTTATATAACTATTCAGTAACTAAATTATATATATATATATATATATATATATATATATATATATTATTATTATTGACTAGTATACAAACTAAGCATTTTTGAAATAAACGCTCCGCATAAAGGTAGCTGTTATTAGCGTTCTGGACTCAACTGGACAGGCTAGTCGAACAAAGACCAATAAAGACATTAGACTGCTCATACCGGTCGAATATTATCGATTTAGCACAGTACTAAGATTGAATAAGTCATATTTCGATTGACGAATAAATCATGTGATAACTAACCGGGTTTAAAGTTACAACAATTTCAATAATAGTTGTTAGATAATATGCCTCATTTTTACAGAGTACAAGTTTATACAGATGTCTCATAATTACGTAAGAACTATGCCACTTCAAAAACTGAGATAATTGACTTGGAGTTAAATCTAGACACCGTTCTTGCTTAAAATCAATAAGTGTCTAGACTACAACTTTGTTTAACGATAAATAATTCGTTAAATATGCAGTTATAACGAGAGTCATTATTCATTAAATTAGTGCATATTGAATAATGGTAATTCAAATCAATATATATGGTATACATACATTTGGGCTACTGACGGTCCCAAGCCCAGATGAAGGAGAAGGGTTAGGCATGGAGTTAGCGACCTCATCCCGTAGAAAACTAACTCACTAAAAAACGTTAACCAGAAGAAATTATTCAAACCATTTAAACTCTGCCCTGGGAGCCAGAAGGTCTTGATTTAGAAGAGTTGTGATGCCTCATGATGAAAGCCGAACATTTTTGGTAGCCACGGGGCTGATGCCCCTTCTGACAACCAGAGTAACCATTTATGCAGAAGGAATAGCTAACATAAATCTGTAATAATTATTAAGTCTTGCTTATTCAAGTTTAATTTAATTCATTATGAACGAAATTGTTTTCAACATTATCATTGCTCTACAATCTGTGAATTTAGTGGACTAATAAACTTTATATTATCTATCATAATAAATTGAGCGGGAACAAAAGTGGGGACAATCAAGTGTATTTGAATGTAAAATTACAGAACATCTTAGTAAAATATGAGAACCATATAGTAAATACTTTATTTGCTAAATGTCAATCATCAATCGTCTCAGACTTCATTGTTCTTTTATTATCACACCAATCATTGTTTGTTCTCGTTCTCTTTTATTTGATCTTTCTAATCTTCTGCCTCCAGGCATTTCACTTTTGATTGATGATCATACTACTTATATCTGTCGACATCAGTAGCGAACACTGCAATACTAGTGTTGAATAATTTGAGTTCAATGAATCAATGGTAATGTTTTCCTCATCTTTATATACTACATAATAAGCATGGAATTTTAAAGAGGTTATTTATTAGAATTGGTCAAAAGGCCCTTAACTAACTACTTGTTCTGTAAATTGCAATTTAACTGCTACCAGTGAGCACAGATTCATTTTCAAAGTTTTTTTCGACTGATTTAACACCTTACATCTTAGTTAGTAATACACATTTCACCTTATTTAATAACTTACATCTGATTTGACATTTTCGATGAATATAGGGTTTTTTTGGTGGCCAAGCTTTTGAATATTGTAGTAACTTGTTGCTTTTTAAAGTTGATCTTTTCAATTGTATCTTAAATAACGGTTGAAGCTTTAATGTCAAAAACTGTGTAACAAGAAAGATGAAGGACTAAAGTGATTATTCTGTGACAGTGGCATTCTACCATCACCTCTTTTCATCTCAGTAATCTTAAGGTTTCAGTAGTGGTAGTAGTAGTAGTAGTAGTAGTAGTAGTAGTAGTAGTAGTAGTAGTAGTAGTAGTAGTAGTAGTAGTAGTATTGTAATAAAAGAATCTCATGTATATTAAACTAATTTATCATTTTATGAAAAATCGAACAGTTACTTTGTCAAAATTATTCAATGAATATATCATTTACATACCTTCCTTCAATTATCCTTTACGTACTTCATCATTCTTTCAATCCCCTTGTTATTCCGATTGTTCTCCATTTTTCTTTCTTGTTCTCTCTATTTTAATCTTCTACTGGTAAGCAGTCCACTTCCTATTCCCGCTACATACTTCTTATATCTGTCCGTATAAGTAGTGAACACCACAGTATGAGTAGTAGCATTAGTAGTAGTAGTAGTTTCACAGTTCTTAATGTTTGACAAGAATTCAAGATTTAACAATCTTTATTAATTTCCAACCTACAAGCTAATAATTTTGAATGTTATAATTTCTAAAAGAAAAAAATTACAACTTTCTTAATATTTCACTGCATAGTTTCGGCATATTCGTTGAAATTCCATGCACATTTTTTCTTAAATATCTTTCAGTTTACCGTCGTTTCTTTTCTGTGCTTCTTGTAACAGAAAGACTGTCGTTAAATTTCCGCTTTTTATTCATGCTTCCTTTTTCTATAAAAAAAATGAAGTCCCTATAAATAAGACATAAACTATTACAGCTTCTATTTATTTAATAAACAATATACTACTTCTTTACTTAGTAGCATCGTAAACGACAGTAAACAGGAAAGATACATGTGAAATTTCATAATAAAATTATGTTCCGACGTGAGAAGAATTATATTCTTTTTTTAAAAAAGAAAACAAGGTACACCAAATACGAAAATGTACTGATGAAACTTCATTGTAAAAAATCAATAAAAGTCAGTCATCAACATTGAATGCGGTTAATTTCTTGTTAAAATAAATTAGTCGGCATAGTAACAACATAATTGTAAACGATATATACATATTCACAATAAAATAATTTTATAAGTTCTTACAATTAGTATATATTCAAAGAGTACTTATGCTATAGAAGCTTTTATAAGTAAAAACATCACTACTATAATTAAGTTTGCTTATGGTTAATGTTATCAAGCATTTGAATTAACTTATTTAACCGACGGTGTTATTTGACTAGAAACAATTCGTCTATATCTTTGTATGATTATTACGATCATGTCTGTATAATCACGTATAGTTGATCACATATGACAGTCTAATTGGGTACACTCATCAGTATGAAAATTATTAAAGTTGTTTTATATACATTCACGTGGTAAAACTTGCTTGCAACAGTTAGGATTTTGACATTTACAGATTTGAACAGTTATCATCAATAACGATCAATGGTAGTTGCAGTACGTAGTAACTTGATAGAAATTTTTGATAAGTAATGCTCTCACTTGAACCACGATTGTTTTGGGCTAGATACCAGACGGAATCGTGGGTCCTCATTGATAGATTGTCCCAGACTAAAATGAAAGATTTATCTAACCCCTTTTTGTTTTAAGTAGTGGTTTAACTGAGTTCCATCCTTGATGTCAAATACATGTATACAAAAGGAGTTTCTTCTAGTTATCTTGAAAAATATGTATGGTTTGAAAAGAGAAACAAGTAACCTTGACAAACAACGTGAGCTACTCTTGGGGACGTTATTTCATATGATTCGAAGCTTGTAAAATACTAAAATTTATTTTTGTCCATAGTTTATCCTACAGACCAAATCGTCTAATTGGTTCTGAGCTGTCCGTTTTATGCCATGTTTTCCCTCAGATGTCGAGGTCCTCATATTCCCGTCTACCACCAGAAGAAAGAGGAAGGGAGAGAGTAAACAGCCTTGTCTGACTCCAGTCCTTACTTGGAATCCATCTGTCAGCTGTCCTCCATGCACTACATTGCAATGTAGTGCGTCGTATGAGTTCCAGATAATGTTGACACTTCTCAGGAACTCCGTAGTGTCGAAGAAGTTTCCATAACGTTCTCCTATCTACACTGTCAAATGCCTTTTCA